TGTGCTTTGCAGGTTGCAGATGAATTGCTAAAAGAAACGAATGTAAGGAGGTCATCGGTTGGTCAGGATGCATATTTACGCACGACAAACGGCGAAAGCACGAAAAGTCTTCAAGATACCCGCGAAGCGAATGCATCAACAGGAACATTATTGGCACCAAATGTTCGGAAATTTCGACCATTTACGATGAATTTGATGACCAATGTTTCCATTATTTTTGCCGATATTGCTGGTAAGCAATTTTTTTTTTCCCTCAATATTCATCATGATATTGCCGGACCACATTTTGATCTGTGCATGGAAAGAAAATTTATAAGAAAAAGTTCATGAAATCTTTTTCTTCTTAGAAATTTGCTGAATTCATTAGTTTTAGAATCATATGATTGTTAACAAATATGTTTTTTTTTAATTTTTAAAGTATATTTATGATGTTTTTCAGGCTTCACGAAGATGTCTTCAAATAAATCTGCCAGTGAACTGGTAAATTTGCTCAACGATTTATTTGGACGTTTTGACTATTTATGTGGCCATTGCAATCTAGAAAAAATTAGCACATTAGGTTGTTTGTGCTTGCAAATTTAAATTATTATTCATTTAGCTAGAATATATCTATTCAAATGTTTAACATACCATTCATTTGATTCATCTTCATGAACACTATTAATCAATCGTTGCAAATATGGTATCAGAAGTGGAAGCTTGTATAAAAATAGGTTTTAACAACTTCAGGTGATTGTTACTACTGTGTGGCAGGCTGTCCTGAACCTCGAGCTGACCATGCTCGTTGTTGTGTTGAAATGGGTCTTGCAATGATTGTTGCTATCCAGCAGTTTGACGAAGATCGCGGTCAAGATGTTAATATGCGTGTTGGTATACATACTGGAAAAGTAAGTATGTTTGTCTTCTTTGAGTTTTTGATTTAAAAAGTAAATCATTTTTCATACATTTGTTGTGTTCACTTCTCATCTGCTTCCGCAATTAGTCTTTTTAATTAACTAGCCAATTCATGTTTTTTCTTGGATAATTTTCTTCGGATTCTGTGTTCCTCGCATTACTATTTTTGCTATCTTCCTCGATAAATCTTCTTTATGCTTATAAATTTTATTTATTTCGGTCTTTTGCTGAAGATATTACAATAGTCTTGTCGAATCGATGTGAAAATCTTAAAAGTGTTGTTAATTCTTTACAAGTTTATAATTTTGAGATATATTTTATGGAAATGTCCATTAATATTTCTGAAGTTTTAATATTTCGCAACTTTTCATTCCCCTTTGTTTTTTGAATTAACTTACTTTAAGGTTTTATGTGGCATGGTAGGAATGAAACGGTTTAAATTTGATGTTTTCTCTAACGATGTAACATTTGCGAATGAAATGGAATCAACAGGAATAGCTGGACGCATACATATTTCAGAAGTTACTG